CCCACCCTCCCTCTCTCATCTCCTCCCTGCCCCCTTCTAAGTCCGCTGATAGGGGAGGTCCTCCTCCCCTTCCATCTGACCCTGGCCTATCAGGTATCTTCAGGACGGGGGGCAGGACCGTAATTGGGGGGGGGGAAGGAGGGGCCCCCCGGGGGGGGGGGGGGGAGAGGGGGGGAGAGGGGGGGCGCGGAGAGGAGAAGAGCTCAACAAGCCAGTCATTGAGAAGGCCAGACTCAGGTTGGGATGAGAACATTGGTGGTAGATTCAGCTTCATTGGGAGGGCTTCTCTTAGCTCCACCCCCAACTATTTGTTCTATTAATCATACCAGTTATTTAGTACTTAGTTATGTCTTTGGTTTTTTGAACAGAATGTTCTCACCTGTCTCATGCTGAACCCTGTTTTGTGATTGGAGCTTTGAGCAAGACTCCTGTTTTTGGCACATTGTTTTGTATATGGAGAGAATGTGAAAAAGGTTCAAGCAGGGTTTGAAAACTGAATTATGCTGCTAAGAAATGCTGGTGGCAGTTCCACGTAGAGTCAGTGGAAGCCAAGATAAAGAGAAAGACTTAGCTGATGGTTCAGGTAGGGTGGCTCCCAAGTTGTAGATTTGGACTTTGTGCACTCTTATGAGTTTTCTGGTGTTTGAACTTCCTATTTTGGGCATTTTTCTGTCCCAAGCACCGGGGATCGCACAGGTGCTGGATGTCAGTGCTGAGCAGTAGACAAGGACAGAGCATGGCTACTCACAGAGCACATGTGCTAATGAAATGAAGAGCATCTGGTGTGTCCTGCCATGAGCATAGGTTTATAAAACAATATTTTGAATTTATTTACAAATAACAGTACTCACTTTATTAGTTTGCTGTTCATTTGAGCATTTATTTTGTGTAGTCTCTTGACAATTAAAACAGCTCAGCTTGGTGGTGGTGGTATGGGCTCTCTATCTTCACTTTATATAGTTGAAGAGCATAGAGTAAAGCCATTGCTCACTTCATTTGTTTGTTTTGCAGAGAGAGTCATCAGAAAAACATAAAATTCATTTTAATCAACTCTAGGGATAGAACCATGCATATCATTCTGTAAAAGATTCCTTGTACTTCTGTTTCAAATTTTATTTATTTACTGGCATGCCTGCCGCTGTGCCTGTGGTCAGAGGACAGCTTTGAGGAATAGCTTTTCTCTTCCACTATCTAGGTACCTGGAATTGAACTCAGGTCAGCAAGACTGGCTGACAAGTGCCTTTACCTGTTGAGTCATCTTGGTGGCTCCTCCAGAACATTTTTTTTTTTTTAAGATTTATTTATTATTTATACAGTTTTCTGCCTGCATGCCAGAAGAGGGTGTCAGATCTCATTATAGATGGTTGTAAGCCACCATGTGGTTGCTGGGAATTGAACTCAGGATCTTTGGAAGAACAGTCAGGGCTCTTAATCACTGAGCCATCTCTCCAGCCCCCAGAACGTCTTTTCTATGTAAATATAAAATTTAAATCTGTTACTAATTGTGGTTATCATATTACCACATCATGACAATTATACTTCTACTCACTGTTGCTATGAATTTAAGCCACATTATTATATAAATATTATCAGTGTTTTTTTTTTTTTTTGTTTTGTTTTGTTTTTGTGTGATTAGCTTACAGGCTACTGTTTACCAGGTATGTCCATGTAGTAGCTTAATAATATATTATTGGCTAAAAATACTGTACCATGTGCCTATGACATTTGATTTTCTTTAATTTTTTCAGTTTGTTTTATGTGTGTGCATGTTTTGTCTGCATGTTTGTTTGTGTATCACTTGCATGTCTGGTTCTTTCAGAGGCCAGAAGCGGGGAACTGTATCTCTGAAACTAGAATTATGTTCTGAACCATCACTCCAGCCTCAGCACTTAATTTATCTCCTGTCCCCCTTTCTTCTTTCCTGTATATTTTTATTGTGCATGTGTGCACTTACTCAGTTTTGTATTTGGTAGACATTTGTGTAATCAGAATTTTTTTAAAGTTTAATTTATTATGTATACAATGTTCTGCCTGCATGTATGCCTGCACGCCAGAAGAGAGCACCAAATCTCATTATAGATGGTTGTGAGCTACCGTGTGGTTGCTGGGAATTGAACTCATGACCTCTAGAAGAGCAGCCAGTGCTCTTAACCTCTCAGCCATCTCTCAAGTTTGGTGGGTAGGTTTGTTTGTTTGTTTGTTTGTTTGTTTTTTGAGGCAGGATTTCTCTGTAGCCCTGGCTATCCTGGACTTTGTACTCCAGGCTGGCATTCACAGAGAACTGCTTGTCTCTGCCTCCTGGGTGCTGGGGCAGGCGAGTGCTATCGCTCCTGGCTTCTAAGACTTGCTTTTATTGGGGGTACAAAACAGATACAATAGGAGAGTGGCATTGTTATGAGCATTTTACATGTAAGGTCTGTGCAGGTTTCTAAGCAAATGCTCAGGAATGGAATTTCGGGGTCAGCAGGGAAGCTATTGTAAAATGAGCAAATATTTTCAAAACAGTTGTTAGCAGTTTACCTTGCAAAATTTGTAAATGTTTGCTCATGTAAATGTTTGTTCACTATCAATAGATTAATACTGTTTTTGACAGATGTGAAACATCATTGTGACTTTAATTACAATGATATTGGTAGGATCTGAGCACTACATCCTTGTGGGTAAAGTTTGGTGGCCCCTCTACACATCATTAGAGTATCTTGATGGTCAGATGATCTTAATTTTTAACATAAGTGAATATATTAATTTCTCCTTTGTGTTTGGCAAGAACACTGCTCTGACATCAGTTACACTCTTTGTTGAAAAAGTTAGAAAAGGCCAGTTATAAAGGTACTTGATGACTTGACCCGAGTTTGAATCTCAGGTCCCAAATGGTAAAAGGGAAATGACACCCAAAAGTTGTCCTCTTTACACAGGCGTGCAGCATATGCATCCCACCACCAAATAGATCTGATAGAATACTTAAAAGTATTTTTTTTTTTTTTTTAAGTTTTGCCATTGCAGTTTGAGATTTAGGTAAAGGGGTCATACTGATTGTAAATAGACTGGTTTTTGTTCTAGCAAATGAGTTTGTTTGATTCTAAACACAAGGTCCTGCACACTTTTTGTGTTCAAGATCCTCAATGAGGTTGGAATACAACTGTGAGCCCTCTGCCTTAGTGTAGACTGTCAGTAATTGCTTCTTGATCTGGGTACAGCTTCATTCTTTAAGCATGTGGATATTCAGGGAAAGTTGGCACTTCCCCTCGAAAATTACTACTAGTGCATTGCTTGCCAGTATAACAGTTATCACAGCAAGACTCAGCATATCCCCGCATGGGCACTGTTGACTTGCAGGTACAAGGGCTTAGTCAGTCTTAGTTTACGTCATAGCTGTTACATTCTAGAAGTGAAAGTACAAAACTGTCTTCTGAGAAGATATGGAGATAAATCACCAAAGTACTTGATTTTTAGTCATGGGACCTGAGAACCCATGTAAATTTTTAAAAGAATCTAACTGAGCTTACTTTTACTTGTGATTTCAGTGTTGAGGAGGTGTTGCCTGGTAGAGCTCTGGGGCTTGGTGGCTAGCCAGCCTAGCCCCCTGGACAAGCTTAGGTTAGTGAGAGACCCTGTCTCAAATAAAAGGAGGAGGGGATGGTGAGGTGGGTGTCACAAGGCTGTTTCCAAGGCCTTCTTATTCCCCACTTAAAATTGTGGCAGGAAGCCCAAAGGCATTAAGCCTTTTGGGTAGAAATGGTTGTTTAGACTATCAAGGACCATTTGCCCATACACAGTGTGAGCTCCTGTAAGCAAACAGATAGCAGGGGAGCTGGTGGCTTTTGGCATTTGTGCCAGATGTCTTCTGAATGATTAGTGAAGGGATGGAATGGATTGGAATTGTATGGGAGGTTTAAAGATGGTAGGCAGGGAGAACAGCTTTAACTGTTCTTCCAGGTGAAGGTAGGTAATGACCATGCAGGATCAGTGGACATTTCTTTTAAGTTCTACTCTTAAGTCATCAGATGTCAGAGTGAGGGCTCAGATATTCAAAGGTCATTGAACCTTGCACATGGCTTGCTAGTGGGGTCTCTTGTCTTGAAGTGTTTCATAGGTTGTTTCAGGGGCAGAGTCCTGCTACCTTGGTCAGGCCGACCTTAAATTGATTGTTCTGCGTCAGCCTTCTGAGTAGAGAAGACCTAACGATACATGCCACTGTGCTTGGTGTTGCTTCTGTTGGTCAGGTGCTTTGTCCTGTGTCTTTCACAATGAAAGCTTTTGTAACAGGGAGAGTAATAATTAGCCAAGTGATCAGATAGATGCTTAATGAACCCTTTCTTCATTCTGATGGCTATACTTGGAAAACTGGGGAGCAACTATCTGTTGACCCACAGCTTATGGTGACAGGTAAGGTGTGGGTACAGTTGAGTTTTTTGTGTTGTGTTGTCCCGTGAGCTCACTCTGAGATCCATCTCCCCTTCCTCCGAGTGCTGGGATTGAAGGCATGCTACGCCGCCGCAACCGCCACCACCACCTGGCATGGGCCTAGTTTTGATTCTGAGCACGAGTGTAGCTTGCCTTGGGAATGTCAAGATAGGTATTACATGCCGTGTAGCCTCTTCACTAGCTTTTCTCATTTTATTGCCATGATAGTTGTATGTTTTATTTAATCTCAGGCTCCCATAGACAGATTTGTCCTTTTTAGTACTGCTTTTTTACTTTAAAATTGGGCTAAAGTCTTTCAGGAAATATTAATATGAAAAAATACTCTATAGCATCTTTGCTCTATTAACACAATTGAGTTACCTCAAAAGGTTAACTATATATTAGGCACTTTGAATTGCTGTGTAATAGTTTTCCTTTGAACTAGGACTTTCCTTCAATGAGTATGAAGGCAGGGATCATACAACCTACAATTTTTCTTTTTTCTTTTTGATACAAGGTCTCATGTAGCACAGGCTTCCCAGTGATGCAGTCACGGTTTTGCCCTACCTGACACACACTGATGATTATTATTTTTTATAAATACGAAAGGCTTCATGAATTTGCATGTCATCCTTGCACAAGGACCATGCTAATCTTCTCTGTATCGTTCCAGTTTTGGTTTATGTGCTGCTAAAGTAAGCACTTTATTATTACTTTGTTAAGATTGTGGTATTGGGGCTGGAAAGATGGCTTAGCCACTAACAATGCTGGACCCAAGTTTGATTCCCAGTACCCATATGGCTGGTCAAAATTGTTCTATTTCAAGGGAGCTGACACCCTCTTCTGGCCTCTGAAAGTACCAGGCATTCACATGGAACCATGCGTGTAGGCTAAACACCTATCATGTAGATGCGCGTGCATACACATTGTCTTTATTGCTGCTTTGCCCCCCCTTCTAAAAATACGGGTCTTACTATAGGCTTGGCTAGGTCAGAGTTGCTTATGTAGATCAAGGTGGCTTCAAATTCATAGGTGTCCTCCTACCTCAGTTGCTTTGCTTTTTTAACTGTTACCACAAGTATTCAAGTCAGCAGCACCATTACTTTACCTAAGAGACTTTTCATCAGAAACAAGTTTTGTAATTAAGGTTTTCAGCAAACCATGTTCCACTTTAGTTTTAGAGACATTTTTAACATTAGCAGAACAAATAAGTCTAGTTTGAGGTTTTATTGATGTGATGGAACACATGGTACATTTTGTAAGTTGTGAGCTTGAAAATGGTTTTCCGTTTCTGAATGTGTGCATTTAAAAATATGTATATGAATGTTTTGTCTACACTTGTAATATTTGTGCATGCATGGTGCCCTCACATCAGAAGTGGGCATTGGATCCTCTGGAATTGTCATATAGCCTGTTGTGAGCCAGTGTTGGTAACTGAGCCCAGGTCTTCTTACCCACTGAGCCATCTTTCCAGTCTCTATGTGCACATCTTTTTGTCTATAGGTGATAACTTTCCTTTCCCACATTTGGATGTGTGTTTGTTTGCCTTTGAGACAGTGTCTTAGATATCCTCGGATGGCCTCAAATTACTATGTAGTAGAAAATGAATTTAAACTTGTTTTATCTACCTTCCATGTGCTGAAATTTCATCACACTAGAGTGTATGTGCGTATGTGAGCAAGGTTTTGTGTGTGTTAAGCAGGTTAGTTCTCTATCCACTGAGCCCCACATGTTATTTTTTTCCTAAAAGATTAGTTTATTTTTATTTTCTGTGTATGAAGGTTTTGCCTTCATGTCTGTATGTACTGTATGCATATGTGCTTGGTACCTGTGGAGGCCAGAAGTGGGTATTGGATCACCTGGAACTGGAGTTAGAGTATGAGCTGTGACATGAGTGCTGGGAGTTGAACTCAGGTCCTCTGAAAGAACAACCAGTACTCTACCAGGTCATCTCCCCAACTCTTTTTCTTCTTTTGTTACGTAGCCCTAGCTGTTCTGGGTCTCACTATATAGAACATGCTGGCCTCAAAGTCACAAAAGTAAGCCTGACTCAGCCTCCTGAGTGCTTGGATTAAAGGTCCTGCCATTCCCAGAACTACTACATTATTTTAAATTTCATTTTTGTTTTTATGTATATGGGTGTTTTGCCTGCATGTATGTCTGCACCATGAATATACAGTACCTTAGGAGGTCAGAAGAGAGTTCAGATCCCCTCGGAGGAGGACTAGAGTTGTAAGCACCATTTGGGTGCTGAGAATCAAGTACAAGTTCTCTGGAAAAACAATCAATTCTCCTAACCACTGAGCCATCTATCTCTGTTTTTTTTTTTTTTTTAATTTTTTTTTATTTTTTAACATTGTTGCTCTGTTTCTCTCTTAATGGATGTGGCTGTCACTCAAAAAAATATGGCTCTATTTTATTACATTATTTTATAAAGCTTCACAGCACAAGAATTGAGCAGTTGTTAATTTCTTTTTAACCTTTTAAGCTAATTTGGCTTCCCAGTGTACATCCCAGAGATGTATACTGTAGATGTACCTTGTAGATTTAATGCTCCAGCCCCTTCTCCTGATACCTCTAGGCCTCTCCATGGCTGAATCCTCTACTTTCTCCTCTAACTCCTCCTCCCCTGCCTGGCAGGAAGTCCAGCCCTGTTCTCTTCCCTGCTCAGTAATAGGCTGTAAGCTGCTTTATTGGTATACCAGGGGACAGTTTGGGGAGTGGTGTTTACACAACATTGAGACAGGAAGTTCTCAGAACAAGGATTGCAATGGGATATTGGGAGAAGTACATAAGTCAGTATTTGAATTACACAGTAACCTTTTGCCTACACATTTCTCCAGCTCAAATACATGGGTTTTAAAAATAATCTCTCAAGTCATTCATTGAACCTAGAGGCACCACTGTGCAAGGTTTCTCCAGAGCAGCAATATTTTTTTTAGTTAGTTTTTTTTTTAAGATTTATTTTTTAAATTATGTATCTGTGTGTAGGAATGAGTGTGTGCATGTGGGAGCAGTGCCCTTGGAGGCCAGAAGAGAGCGTCAGAGCCCATCTGTGAAAGTTGGCCATATAATTGGGCAGTTGTGAGCGATCTGATGTTGTTGCTGGGAACTGAACTTGGTCCTCTGAAAGAACAGCATGCACTCTTTCCCCCTTGTTTTGGAGACAGGGTTTCTCTGTGTAGCCCTGGCTGTCCTCAAACTCAGACATCCTTCTGAGTGCTAGGATTAAAGACTTGTACCATCACTGCCCTCTTAAATGTACCTAGTTCTTTTTGCTTATGAACCTTAAAAGGCTTAGGTGAGTGAGGTACAGAAGCAGGTGTTTACTGTAGGTGCTATTTTTTAAGGTCTGATGTATTTGAAGTTTCTTACACCCCTACCTCTCTTCCAATTTCTGGAGAGAAAGAAGTTTAGAAGGGATAGGGACATAGACCTCTTTAGGCTACTTCCTACTGATAAGGGCCATCTTGTTCTTTGGGGCAATACCAATCTCAGTTGTCAAGATATCTAGTAGTCCAGCTAACCAGCAGACAGGTAAATAAGTAAACGCGGCAGCAGCACAGACAAGCAACCTTCTTCCTCCTGCTGTCTCCTCGAAGCCCCCCTCCCCTGCGTTTCTCAAAGCGGCTCTCTCTTTCCCCTCCCCTCTGGTATAAATACCCTCTCAGAGTCCTCAGAGTTAAACTATCTCCAGCTGCCAAAAAAAAAAAAAAAAACGGTGCCCCTCTCTGAGCCACACAAAGCTGTTGTCAGCTGTGGATAAACTAAAAGCATCTCCATATCCCACACTTAGGATACATATGTTAACATGTTTAACATAACTTGAGTGTTTAAAGAAACCAAAACTTACACTATAGTGCACTTGCTGTAAGCTAGCACTAGAATGCCATTTCATGCTTCCTAAGTGATGGGGACTGACTGACTGACCACTCCAGTCTTGTCTGGGAAGGAGGAAGCATGAACATTATGCCCCAGGATCCATTTCTGTTGTGCCACCCAAAGAACCATGGAAGTACGTCACTGTTCTATGTGTCTTTTCAACATGTGTTCTTGAGAGTTCTGCTAAGGCTGGAGAATTATAGAATAAAATATAATTGTCTGAATGAGCTCAAGGTGGGAGAGTAGCTGCCCTTGGATACTCAAGGTCCTGCCCACCTGTCCTTCCATCCTGAGTTATCAAGAGACTCCAATTGATTACTATTTTGACTAGGGACCTTCACCACCAATAATTAATACATAAATAAAATTTAAAGATTGGATGACTTTTGTAGATATGGCAGCTACTTTGGTAGCTGGCGAGATGGCTCAGTTGTTGAGAACATTAATTTCTCATGATCCATGTTCAATTCCCAGAATACACACTGCAGCTTAAAACTCTCTAATTCCAGTTTCTGGAGAGGCCAATGCCCTCTTCTGGCCTCCAAAGGCACCAAGCATGAAAATGATGCACAAAGCCAAGTCAGACACTCATACACATAAAATAAAAAGAAAATTAATTAAAATGAAAAGAATTACTGACCTTCTATAGAAGTGGCAGAAAATGGGGGCTAAAGAGATGGCTCAGTTGTTAAAGAGATGGCTCAGTCATTAAGAACGCTTGTGGCTCTTGCACAGAATCCAGATTTGGTTCTTAGCATCCATAAGGTAGTTCATAACTCTCTGAAACTACTAGTCCAGGGGATCTGACCCCTCTTTTGACCTCCATTGGCACCAGGCATGCATAGTATGTATACATACATGCAGGCAAACACTCATAAACATAAATTTAAAAATTAGGAAAGTGCCAGAACTAGCCTGAATTAGAGTGCTATGTTTAAAATGTGGAGAGTGCTGTATCCATTCATTGCATTGTGATCATTTTACTAATAGAATGATATAGAGCCTTTTACCTTTTTTTTTTTTTTTTTTTTTTCTGTGTAGCTCTGGGTGTTCTTGTAGACCAGACTGAGATTTGCCTGCCTCTGCCTCCTGAGTGCTGGGATTAAAGTGTATGCCACCAGTGCCCAGGGAGGGGCCTTCTATCTTAATCAAATGATTGGTCACAAATAGCACTTGTCCAGAAGTGATTCTCTCCTGCTAGAATGGGAGGATCATACCTATTTCTATGAAGTGGGTGTCTGACAGGCTAGCAGTCATTATATCAAGTGTGTTTGTGCTTAGATGTTCATTTCTACAAGTACTGTGGTGCTGCTGTAACTGGGAAAGGACTCTGTGTCAGCAGAAGTAGGCTGTTCCTGTAGTACTTTAATAAGTATAGCCAAAGAGATACCAGCATGTACCAACAGTTACCCAAGTGTTCTGGCCCTAGAAAAAAATGTTTTCATCAAGACCTGTTTCTATTTTATGAGTATGATTAGTTTGCCTATGTGTACATATGTCTATATACCCCATGTATATATGTATGTGTGTGCCTGGTGCCTGCAGAGGTTAAGAGGGTGCTTGGATATCACCTGGGCCCTAGAGCTCCGGGCTCTGAGGGGAATCAGGATTTTGTTCTTTTTGGATTAGTCCTGGCATCCAGTATTTATTTACTGCATTTTCCCCTGGGCACCTGGCAGAGGAGCCTCAAAAATTGACTCAGTCTGCCCTTTTAAACACAAGGCTGCCCTTGGTTGTTAGTTGTCTCTGTATTGAGAAGGTGTCTCCAAAAATAGTTGAAAGAGGGTAGGGGTGATTATCATTAGATTTCCAGGCCAGTTC